TCAGCCTCTCCTTGTGTTTGGTGATTAAGCACAACAAACGAATTATTGTGTTTGTTGAGTTCCTCATTTTCCAGTGCCTTCTCACACATTAATTTCCCAGCTTGCTTTGTAAAATTCTATTTGTAGGCTTCCATTTGCTCTTTACTGCCCCTTTGTAGAATTGTTGGTTGTTTAGTTGTTGTGTTTCTTTTGGTATTTCTTCATATTGTTGTATTAATTCTGGATGTAGAACCCTGCAATCATCTTCTCCATGCCCCTGCAATTTACATTTCATGCAATATGCAGGTAGGGAATCATATTGAATTTTCACTGAAACAACTCTATTCTCAAGAGTATTTTCATCTTCTAACTGCATTTGTACAACCTCAGGTTTCTCATCAAGCAAATCCATCTGGACCTTCACCCTTGCACAACTTGGACGAGTCTTATTTATTGTTGCAAGATCTAGTTGAAGTGGCTTCCCAACCACAGCCGCAAGTGAGAACAACACTTCATTCACGAAAAAAGTTGGCAACAAATCTAGAAAAGAGATCCAAGTCGTGACCTTTGTCGTCTCTTCACTAGCTTTGAAGTTTGCATCATAAATAAAAGGGCTCATTTGATAGGCATATCCATCCTTCGCAATTATGTAATAGGAATTCTTAGACAGAATCTTAATATAATCCTCCCTCTGATCAAATCTCATTAAAATATGTCTATTTCGAAGATATCCTATCTGACATCCCCCAGATATCCCACATTGCTTTGGAATTAATTCTCTTAGTTCATTAATGTTTGGAGCTCCATATGAAAACTTGCCTACTACCGCAAATTGTAAATTCTCTAGTATAGTCATTCTCTGAATTTCACTTGCTGACCAGTTAATAGTAGGAATACCTCCAACAAATTTTGGCTTTTTCATAGGAATAAGCTCTACGATATCAATAGCCTTCTCTTTTCTTTTTGTACCCTTCAGAATATCAGCAAAGTTATTCAACAAGGGAGGGGTAAGGATATGTGAGTTGTTAAAAGTAATAATCTTTAACAGTACTAGAAATTCCAAACCTCTCTTCTTAATCTTCTAAAAAAAGAAAAAATCACAGCCATGATGAAACTCCTATGATTCTTCTCTCCATTGTAGCAACACTAATTGTGTGTTAGTTTCAACTAGTGATTCTTTAACTATATTTCATTTTTTTCCTTCTTCAATTCATTCTCGATTTTTCCGTGAACCCTTGTTGGAGACTTGAGAGAGGTGTGTATCGGCGAAGATGGAGGCCACAATTGTTCTGTAAAGATGGAGCTTCCTAACTAATATTGTCAAGATTGGTAGGCTAAAGAAGTTTACCCCATATGGCCCCGATTAGAGCTGCTTCTATGGAAAGAAAGATCTATTTGAGATTCTATGGTCATAACCAGAGGAATGAAGGTAGTCCAACATTATGTTTCATCCGACATTCAACCATATTTAATCCATAATTCTCTTTTCTTCAATTTCTATGTTTTTGTATTATTTTATTTGATTTTGATTATTTTGCCTAAAAAATCAAATAATTATGTTCCACTTGATGTGACAACTTGGCCAAGACTCTTGAGAAGGATCAAATTTATTGCGAAGAAATTCAAATTTAGAAAAAATCAAGCCAAGTTGAAAATTGGCAATAATATTGGTTATCGAATTATGTATGAAAATTGATACCCAACAAATTTGTATATTAGTAAGATTTTATAGACGTATGAAAACCGTATTAAATTTGATATTCACATTTTACCTTAATCTACCATTTTGAACCAGTTTATATACCCATTACATACACAAATTGATATTTATGTTGAGTTATTAGCATATTCATTTGGTATTAAAGCGGATATCAAAGATTTTTTTAATTATGCACTATATGGAATAGAATACATAATACTTTTTGAATGTAAACAATATATAATCTGAAACTATATGTATATTGAATGGATATTTAAATACTATGGTATGAAATAAATATACAAATTGATTCACTTAATATTTTTATATTAGTTATATACAAACATGTTTTATATGCAATGTGTATAGTGAGTAATGACTATAAAAAATGATGCTTAATAAATTTTATATTTTATTAATTATTTATGGAACTATTATACAAATTAATATTTATGGATTGTGATATTCAATTTAGGAGATATTCTTTAGATTATATAATGAATGAAATCGGATTATAAAGTGATTTCATGTATGGAATATGTATAAGGAAAAATTACCTACCTACACATCCTTTTTTACCCTATTTTCTATTATTCCCTACCATTTTAAAAAATTACAAAAATCTCTCTTTTTTCTCAGATTCTCTCCTTTCCAGATACATAACTTTCAATCTTCCAACTGCACTATTTTCTCCCTTTTTTCATGCCTATAATCACTCCACTATATCACAAGTTACCTTCATCACTCCTTTATTTTGAATTTTAAATATTTTCTCTCTCTAGTTAATGATTTAAAGTTAATCAAGCGGTAGTTCTTCATTTATTTATTTTTTCCAGTTTTTTTTTACAGAAAAACACAAACAATGGGCTCAATTTATTGACTATGTATCATATGCTTGTTATGTATGTGCAGTACTATTTTATAACTTAATCATTGTTTATCATATTTTTAATTTTTTTTGTATATGATGCATAAGTACGTCAAATTTACGGGCATGATACATAAATACTAATTTATACTACATGTATCGATCTCAAACCAAACAACTTATGGGCAACAATTACATGTTTAATGTATTCCATAACAATACAATACTTATCAATTTAAACGAGATACAAAAATAGTAATGTATCATGCACTATTTTTTTTAGATATGATACGTAAATTCGAATTTATACTAAATGTATCAATTACATAGCAACTACCATACAATAATGTATCGATCTCAAATCTAACATCTTATGGGCAACAATTACTTATTTAATGTATCTACTATCTAGTATAAATACAAGAATTATCAATTTAAACGAGATACATGAATAGTAATGTATCATGCACTAATTTTTTAGATATGATAAGTAAATTCGAATTTATACTAAATGTATCAATTACATAGCAACTACCACACGGTAATGTATCGATCTCAAATCTAATATCTTATGGGAAATAATTATTTATTTAATGTATCTAGTATAAATACAATACTTATCAATTTAAACAAGATACATAAATAGTAAAATGCTAAGTAGCAGAGATATTCATGATGTATCTTCTCAAAAATTTTGAGATCTTCAATAAATTAGGATTGAATCTCAAAATTGAAAGGATCTTCGATGAACTGGAGAAAAAGAATCTTGAATCTCAAAATTTTTGACAATCTTGAATTAAAATTGAAAATATCTTCGATGAACTTGAAGATTCAAAAGAAAATCGTTTGTCCAACAACAATTCCATCACTTTTGTATCCTTCATAACTCACCTTATTTACCCAAATTTCGAAAAAAGTTTTTAAATCAAATCTGAAAGGTTTCTTCGTTGAACGGGGGGAGCAATTTGAAATTTTGAATTTCGTCATTCTGTTAGGATTTTCCTCTGTATGATTGAGAGTAAGAAGAAACGTAAGCATAATTTATGGAATTTAATTAATTTTCAGATTTTATTCCCTTTTTAGTGCAACAAAAAAAAATCTTGTATTAGAATTAATGTATCTGGATGGTGAATTAATTTATCCGGATGGTGACTTATGTATCCGGAAGGTACAAATTTTAAGGGATTATTGTAATTAAAAAAAGAGTAGGGATAGGATGTACTTTACTCTTTACACTATGGGATTTGTGTAAGTTATACTATGTATAATATATGTGAAAGTTGGTATGCAAACGGGTGATCATCTATTTTTTATATTTTATTAACCATTTTAGTGTATGAAATGGGTATACAAATTGGTATCTATGAATTGTGATATTTATTTATTTGATACAATTTGAATACTAATTTCATAGACTATGATATCTGTTTGAATTAAGAATTCATGTTTTCTATATTCGTGTTGAATCAAGATTGAATGAACGGTAGCATCTTTAATACTAGAAAAATAATTGTTACTTTTCAGGATTTTAAAAAAAATTTAAAAAAATCATGAATGAAAGCATACAAATTGTATAGAAGACAAACAGGGAAGAAGAAGAAAAAATCGTGTTTGAAAAATCTAAGAAAAAAATCGTACTGAATATATTTAAAGGAGAAAAATTGTGTAAGAATATTAAGGGGAGATATTTTAGGAAGAAGAAAGATTTATATTTTTTTGAAAAAAGATTAGGAACAATTATTTTTCTCTTGAATTATGGAAGAAGATTAGGTTGATAAAATATTGGAGAGAGATATTTTAGGAAGGAGAGATCTTTTATAACCGATTAAGGAGAAAATTAGGGAATCAATATATTCTGCAAGTTACAAAATATTATATTTATGGAAAGAATATTAGTTGATTAAAGGGAAATACGTTAGGAATTAAAAAAACTGTTTTTCATTTTTATTTTAAAGTTTATTTATTAATTTGTTTAGTATCAATAAAAATCTAATGTTATATATCGAAAACTACAAAGTCCTGTTAGTACTAGTAATAAAAAATCTTTAATTTGTCATTTAATTAATTTTTCCAAAAAATATTCAAGTGTTTAAGTGAATTCTGAAGGCAACTTTTAAAGCTACAAATGATTTGGGCCTTTCAACAGTATAAAGTAAGAAATGATTTTTTTTTTCTTTTTAATCAATTAACATAGAATAACTAGATGTGTGTGTGTGTATATATATATATATATATATATATTATCACAAATAAATCAATTATTATTTTCATTTTAATAACATAAAATATATAGTAAAATATAAAATATTTGTATTTCTAAAATGTTATTTGAATAGGATAAAAATATTTGTTAGTAAAAAAATTTATTATCACAAAAAGAATTGTGTTTTTCAAATAATATATTTATTTTTTAAAAAACCATTAAATAACAAGGACCATTTTAAAATCAAACTATTAACAGAGGACATCTCTAGTTTAATTTGAATTTTAAAAGAGTTAAAATATAAGATGAGCAGCATGATACACATATGCTGTAATTTACAGTAGTCGACATCCCCTGGAACTTGGGAAGAATTTACAAACTCCAGCAAAAGTAAGATGAAATGGTTAAATATTCGACCAAAATTGATTGATCTTACAACAGGCATCGTATGTCAGATTACTGCTGTAACTTAGACTGATAAATTCTCCTTTTCTTTTTTATTTTACCCCTCCTCTCAACCAGTTGGCATTAGGGAGTGGGAGAAAATTCATCCTACTGTTATATCAGCTGCCCTTCTCGACCAATAATAAAAGTCAGGCCACCAAAATATCACACCAATCAACGGGATCTATCGCCTTTTTAGCAGAATAGACTCCTTAAAATTTGGCTTACCATGTATTGGTGCGCTTCAAGTAGGCCAATACACCAACACTTGTTAGCACAACAGCACCTGCAAAAATCCCCATGCGCACGGAACCCCATCCATCTTTCTCTACACAGGTACTACTCAATTCTTGCACTGATTTTACATCAGAGTAATCTAGATGCAATCTTAACACCTACAAAATAAATGTAGCAGTCATTAAACTTGACAGATCCACTGACCAAAACAGATAGAATTGGAATTTTTCTCATAATCGCTGACTTTTGATGCTTTTTTCCGGACGAATTAACATATACAAGAAATTGTTAAAATTATTGGTTTCATTTCTGTGGGTTGTACAGCTAATTATCAAACTCCCTCATGCATTATGATCACAAATTCATTCTTCAACAACGGGATGTAATTGCCTGTGCCACATGATCATCCTCAAAATTGACAACCGTAACTTAAAATGTATTGAAGTCAACACAAGAGGAAAAGCATAAACAAGGAGCATCAGCATACCTTTAGTCCTAGTGATCTGGCGTGGCTAACTGCACCTACAAGATCACTATCAGTTGTCAGCAGAACTTTATCGCCTTCATCATCTTCATACTACAATAAGAACAGAAAAAGTTTCATACCACCTTCATCTCCATATACTACATGAAAAAACAGAAAAGAGAATTCATCAAGGCGGCACAGGATTCTTCTCAACACCTACCAAAAGGTGAGGACGATTTTGTTCATCTACTGCACCTAATCTTTGCATAACCGCAGTGACAAGCTCCAGTAAGCTCTCTGAGCCTGAGAAAGAAGAAGCAGAGGGTCAGATGCATGCTCTAAGAATTAAGTTAAACCAGTGCATGAATAGAACCACATAAGATTTTAGGGGGAATTCCTATGCAGTAAAAGACTTAACTCTTTGGTGTTGCTTCTTATAACTAAATTTACTTTACTGGATAGTAATGTTTTAGAAAAAAACAATCCACCTCATTAAGCCACCTTGAATCCTGCATTGTAGTTGTAAAAGCACAACCATGAACGTGATAAGACTACTGAATGGCAAAGATTTCAGTCAATAACATAGGGCCAAACTCTTTCAGGTTTTCAAGTTGCTAATATTAGCTTTTTAAAAGCTTGTATAATATGCACCATTACCAGCATAAGACCTCTGCTTCAATCAGACATTTTAACCTTATTCAAGGAAATCTGTCCTGCTCAACCAAAATTTACAGCGCTTTAATAATTGAAGTTCCAGTCTCTTCAGCTGGCACAATTCAAGGCTTAGTCAGACTCTAGTCTTTTAGTACAAAACTTCAGCAAAAGAAAAACCTCAGAAATTCTCCACTTTTGGACTCCGGCAATGAACCACAAACTACATTCTCCAATGGCTAGGGAGGATATTCTCATGATAAAATGAAAAAATATTATCAAAATACAGTTGCTGGAAGATTCTAAATGAGCTTCATAGCACCTCAGATTGCTAAAAGTGATCATTATCTATCGCAAAACACAATTGTTCACAACAAAAACATACATTCACCAAAGTATTTCTAATAATGAAACAATCACAAGTAGAAACAAACAAACTACTCCCTTTGTTTCATTTTATGCATCTTAGTTTGACTAACCACAAAATTTAAGAATGTGAGAAGACTTTTGAATCATATGGTTCTAAGCTAAAAGTGTTATAACATGCCAAAGAATACTCTTTGAATCTTGTGAACTTAACATGTCATGTCATCCCTGTCGAAAGTGTTTATTGGTCAAATGGGAATGTTGGTATTTCAGATCTACTCTATATAGAAAAGTAGCATATATTATTGAACAGACAAAAAGTAAGGTCCGGTGCAAATTTAAATGGAGGGAGTATATCTTCTTGTGAAGGAAAATCAAGTAAATTCAATGATACAGAAGGTTGAATAATGTTCCTAGTGCACAATGTAATAAAGTCTGCAGCACTCACCAAAATTAAATCTGTTGACACGACCTTTAAGGTCAACAAATTTGAAAGCAAATGTATTTCCAAGACCCAATGATGGATATCCAGATTTTCCTGCTTCTGCCCCTTCTGACATCATCAATTGAGACATAGACATCTCACTGTATGATAAGGAAATGAACAAAGCACGGTTAGCTTTTATATGCCCAGGTCATGAAAGCAACATCTAGGAAGCATAAGTACCTGAGAGTATCATAATCGTCAGGTGGCTCCAGGTTAAGTGCCGAATCCCAAAACTTCTGCATCATAGTATTGGCCATTTCATTGACAGCACCTGAGCTGTTCTCCACCTTTAGAAAAACAGCAAATATAAGACAACCTTCTCAGTATTGCACTCCTTCCTCAAAAAACTATGATACGCTTCTTTAGATAGAAGTCCTTTGTCAATCTGGACGTTGAATTACTCGTCTTTTTTGGGCAAAATCTTTTTAAATTTTAAAACTTACCCCAAACTTATACTCCCTCCGTCCCATTTTATGTGAGGTAGTTTGACTCGGCACGGAGTTTAAGAAAGAAAGGAAGACTTTTAAAACTTGTGGTCCAAAATGAATGATAGAAATTTATGTGGCTGTAAATCATTTTATTAAGGGTAAAATAAACATTTTATAGTTAAATTGTTACTTAAAATAGAAATGTGTCATTCTTTTTGGGACTGACTAAAAAGGAAAGTAAGTCACATAAATTGGGACGGAGGGAGTATTATTTTATAAAAAAAATAAAAATTATCTATTTATGACCCCAGCTAATTCTATCCACCCTTTTTGGTCCTCTGATCTGGAAATGCATGCTCACCATGAAGAGATTGTTCATAGAATATGGGAAGATTATATTAAAGAATAGCTAGCTACTACCATCTTCATTATTCATTCATCACTGATGGATCTTCATATCCAAGGCACGCTTAAGCCTTGAAGCGAGGCTCAAAACGTGTTGAGCGCTTCACCTCGCTTTATGTGCGCTTCAGTGCCTTCATCAAGGTTCTAAGACAAACTCTTCCTTGCCAATGAACCTCTTATGAAGAAGTGACACTAAACAACTGATATTTCACTTTATCATAAAAAAAAAATCAATTTCTTTGGTCATATATTTGTAATCATGTTTATAATTATTAGTCTTGGACTAAATGTATACATTTGTGTTTTTTCCTCCCTTTGCGCCTTTTTTCATTAAAAAGCTCACACTTTATTTGCGCTTAAGGCCCCCACGGACCTTAGAGCCTTTTTGCTTTTTCGCCTTTGATAACACTGACAAATTGTAATTTGATGAATTGTAGAAGCTAGTAATTGTGTTATTAGTAGTTATTCTTTCAATATCGTGTTATGATTTTAGGATGATTATTATCTAGTTCATTATAAAAATGATAATTTTGTGCCAAACTTGTGTGTTTTTGATAGTTTTTAGAATTTATGTGTATAAATCATGTTTTATGTTGTTTTTGAAAAAAGTGAAATATGTTTCAAAAACTATGGTCAAACATAATTTGGTACTTCAATCCAAACTTCACTAAAACCTAGTATCCCAAATATATTTGGGAATCTATAGTCAAATGCTAGCTTAGAAACATTGGAAAGAATAAAACAAGTGTGCCTTCTTCAAGAATACAACATGTGTCTTCTACCCATTTCAAAATTGATCCCTCCATTGAGTTGATACATTCTAGGATAGAAGCCTAATGCAGAAAATATAACCACGATAGGTTTACAAAAATATAAAACTTTTAGGATCACCAACTAATGAAACGATATAATATGGAACATCTAGATGCTCAATACTATTGAATATCGGTCTGCATGCCATATTAACCCAAAAACACTTGGACAGAACTCTAAAGGGAATCTATGTAGCTCGTATCCTTCAAAATCCTTGCCGCACACTGTCGACCTGACATGATTTTTGTGTGTATGTGTGTGTGGGATCCACAATACATTTAGTCAACCTAACTTGTGCTCTTTGAATACGTTGTGGCTAAAGAAGTATAGGTTGACTAGGTATTTGGTCTGGTTTGAGTTTATGTGATATAAGTGTCTACAAAGAATTTAATTGTACTAGCTTTATAGCATGTTTGGCCAAACTTGTAAAATCACATCTTATTTTGAGAAGTGCTCTTTCCAAAAGTGTTTTTCAAAAAAATACTTTTGGTGAGAAGAACTTTGCATATCCCATAAATTCAAAAAACACTTTCTAGTAACAATTAGTGTTTGATCAATCTTTTTAAAAGTGCTTCTAAGTGTATTTTTTTCAAACGTGCTTTAAAGAAAATACTTTTGGGAAAAAGCTACTTTTTTTTAGATTCTGAAAAACAACTTCTGCCACTTCCTATAAGCACTTGTTTTCTCTTAAAAGCTTGGACAAACACCTCTCTTTTTTAAATAAGCACTATTTGGAAAACAATACACTTTTGGCCTCTGAAAAATTTGGCCAAAGTCCAAACATGCTATTAGTTTACTAAAGTAAAACTTTAATTAATCATCAAAATATTTACTTATATATGTCGTAATATACATTTATTCTCTATATCTCAAAACTCGTACCCGTACACCTATATCCCCGAATTTCTAAAAAATATAAAATTTAGCTGATGATGAATCTGACTGCTAGATCCTCACCCGTGTCAGGTGCCCACATGTGTATCAGAGCAACAGAGTGCGAAATCATACATGAGAAAGAGGTCATTACGACGATCAAATTCACTTCCTATAAGCCAAACTTACAAACTAGGAATTCATCTGTCATCACTTTTCAGACCTATAACATAAGAAATGATTAGAAGTTTACCATAGATATAGCTGCATGAGTTATCTGCAATACGTCTATGCAGGCGGCAACACATCCATCTGCAAAAATATAGGTTAAACTTGACAGCAAAAATCACTTTTCACTATTAATATCAGAGCTAGAAAAATGTTGAAAATGTCAAGAAGCAAACACTCACCTCTATCTATAATAGGAAGGTGTAGAAACTTCCCATCATGCATTATATGCAGAGCTTCAAGTATTGTTGTCTCTAGTGTTGCGCATTCAGGGTTTGAGGTCATTACCTGAAAATATGACTAAGTCTCAGTAGAATTATTCTTCCTTGGATACGAGACATACGACTAAGGAGAACCAAAACAGAACTTTTGTGTATAATCCTGCATATTCTTGAATGCTATCAGTTCCAAGATGTAGACCAAAAGAAACCTTTCCTCTCCCAAGCTATTCAAGTTAAGAAGATATGAAAGCATGTATTATCTATAAGAAGGGTGTGTTCCGAGTGTGAAGTGGGACAGAAGGAGTATCAAAATTGTTCTTTTAGTAAAAACTTTCGACAAAGTCCAAAGAATTCAAGGCCGAAGTACCAAATAACATGTTATTTCCTCAACTATCAGGTCACTTATTTAACAATGGAATACATCCTACAGTGATTTAATAATAATGCAATAGTTAGGGACTTGTCCCCTCCCATTTTAACCTGAGAGACACAACTGCACTTCACCACGATCTTAATGTTCACATCCCTGCTGCAATACAACCTTCCTCAATGTGTGAACTTGGCCAGATCAGCTTAAATTTTCTATTACTAATCATCGAATATATTCTGACCACAGTTTTACAAATTGTCTTTTCTACATCTCAATGGTATAAACACCAACCTTGAAGATTTCATGAATTTAATATCCATGGTCTTCAGGCCAGCTTGCACACACCTCGACTTAGACCTGTGCGTACTTTGATATATACCGAACTACCTTGCAGAAGCTGAAATTTCAGTGCCACGATTTCTGTTTTACAATATTTGGTATGCAATTTTAAAAGTTTGGTAATCGGCACGGAATTCGGTATTTACAAAAAATACCAAAATATCAAATATTGAACCAAAATATTTAATTACATATACAATAAATATTTTATAATATTAAATAAGTAATAATAATTTTCTAATCTAAACATCAACTAATTAAAGGTCTAAAATCATAAATTTAATTGATTAGAGAATATTAAAAGACTAATAATATTTGATTAGAACTAACAAATATTTATAATTTAAAATGATAAAATAGTACTACTACCAATACAGCAATACCATCTTGGGAATCGCCTCATTAGTTTAGACACCCAACTTATAGAGTTGTGTACCTTTTCATTCTTACTTATAAGAATCTGTAAACAATAACATAATTAGTGTAATCCCGCATGTGGTGTCTGGGAAGGGTGGTGTGCACACAGACCTTGCCCCTATCTTGTAAAGGCAAAGAGGTGGTTTTTCATAGACCCTCAGCTCACTAAAAACATTTTAAAGCAAGAATGAGAACTTCATTGAAATGCTCAAGACCCGATGAAATAAATGGGATCACTTCGTATGGACTCATTCTCATTGAGAATGATTCTAATCTAGTTTTCTCAAAGGATTTGCTTTCTTCGAATATTTTTGCATGTTTAAGGTATTGATATGATATAGTTGAGACATTTCTTGAAAATATTTCTCTATTTTTGCGTGTAAGGTATTGAAGAAGCTGGGGTTCAAGCAAGACGCAGAAGTAGGTGGAGAATCATACCAGCCAGCATATGGTGGGCAATTTGGAAGGATAGAAATGCTAGGTGTTTTGAGAGCATAGAGAATAGTATAGAGCAGATCAAATTGAATTGTATCTTGATTCTATGTTTTTGGTGTAATCAGATCTGGTCTAATGATCCTGTATCTATTATTGATGTGTATTATAGACACAGGATCATAGGTTCTGGAATTACTTGTAAATATGGCCCTAGTACAGCCAATGTACTGATCTGTTCGTATCAATATACACAAAGTTACCAATTTCAAAAAAAAAAAATCTCTATTTTATATAAGTCAAAGTCAAACTATATTTACTGACTTACTGTATAGCACTTCACCGAAATGAACTTAAAAATACTGAATCATACCAAATTTATTTATTTATTCTATTTGAAACTGGTAACTTAACATACCAAATTAATTTGGTATAGTAATGATACAATATTTTTTAAAATTGAAAACTATGATTACCTAACTGAAGTTTTCAATATTGTACCATTAACACCCCAACCTTAATTAATTCTAATGGGTTACTACTACCTCCCATCGGCATAGGTATCAAGTAACTTTGCCCACCAAGGACTGGACAGATGGAAAGAAATCACAATGATCGGTCACCACTAGGATTTAAACTTGAGAGCTCACGGTTCTCAACCCACTTCATTGACCACTAAACTACAACCTTGGGTGTGGCTATTTTTAGGTTATCTTTCAACATTGTGAGTAGATTACAACAGTGTTAGCCTATTTTTGAAGGATTTGGGGGATCTTGTACATCGTGTTTGGGTTTTCTTACCTTTTAGCATTAATTATAATTATTAGTTTAATTTCTTTTGTAATTTCTCTTTTTTTACTAGATTTACAACCATAGGTTGAGAACTTGATGGATTAATACATACAAGCTTATTTATGATTAGGTTCAATGTTATTTAGTTAATTTTTTGCTTATATTTCAAATTACTAATTGGAAATATTGGTTTTTGCCCTAAACATCTCGATTCACACTTGAGGAAGGTGGATTAGGATTGGAAAATTAACAAACAAAGAATTAGCCTAATTGAGAGGTTAATAGTTCTAATTGAAGGATTGAACTACCACAACAACAACAAAATACCCAGTGAAATCCCATAAATGGGATAGTGTAGAGTGTACACAGACCTTACAACTACCTCGTGGTAGTAGAAATACTGTTTTCAAAAGACTCTCGGCTCATGTGCAGCAAATCCAAACACAAAGAAGAAGAATCCAATGTAGAAAGGAACAAGAACAATAAAATAGTGCGATAATCGAAACACAGTAAACAACACAATGCTAGATATCAAATGCAAGATATATAATAATATGGCTAGTACAAAACAAATTGGTGTGGAACATTAACATTTTACCCTTATCCACGACCTCCATACCTCTTATCTAAGGTCATGTCCCCGATAAGCTGAAGATGTGTAATCTTGTCTAATCACCTCTTCACAATAGTTGTACTGCCTTCTAGATTTGTACTGCCAATTCTAAGTGTAACCTCAAAAATTGGTAAGTTGAGTTGGAAGGGAAAAACTTCAGAAAAAGGGTTGTTGGTGCAAGTTATTACGGGCCTATCTACGGGACATAGAAGGTTCTACGGTCCGTAGAAGGCAGCATAGAAGAGGTCTTGGAAATTTTTGTAATGTCAAGTCCCATATGAGGGCCTACGAACCACCAAGACGGTCCATAGAAAGTTCGACGGGCCGTGGAAAGTGAATTGGACTTGAAGAATTTTGGACAAAGGGTTCTATGAGGGGGGCCCTACATGCCGTAGAAGTTTCAACGGGTCGTGGAAAGTTGATCCAAAATGGTCTCCAGTAATTGGTCCTACGGGCAACCAGCTGTAGGAGGTTATACGGACCGTAGGTCGGTCCGTAGAAATCCATCCGGCAGTTTTAAGCCAAGAACTTTCGGGTCTTTTCCTATCATTTCCATATCTGTACTATGTCGTCGTTACACTAACTCCTATAACTACTTTTACTTTTCAAAAAATACTCATTCACTCAAAACCCTCAAATTCTCTTAAAGGTTTCGTCTCCAATTCTTTCTCAATGCTCTCAAGGAAAACTAGAGTTTCAAGCTCCAAGGTCTTTTCCTCTTCCATTTTTGGGCTTTGTTTACCTAAGGCATGTGGGAACTTCACCAATGGATTCCTTTCATCCATTGGGTCCCAAAAGAAACTCAATTTCTATTATGATTACAACCCAATTTTCTAGGGTTTCATGTCATTCTTCCTGGGTTTAATTGTTTATGATTGAATTTCCTGTAATTGATCCATTTATGCATGATTTGATTCAATTACATGTTTTTGAATGAATTTCATATGAACCCATGCTATATGTCTATGCTACAATTGTGAACTATGATTATGAAATTGTGCATACATCATGAAATTGAGGAATTTATTAATAAAGGATGCTTTAGATAAAGTATCAAAATGATTTGTGAAAGGTTTTCTCACTACCAATGATGATCATGATTTTTGATGCTTAGTTAAGTGTCTTATGAATATGTTATAAAATCATGCTTTTGAAAGGAGCTATTCTATGATATGAAGTAATGATTGGATTGCTATGACTCGATTCCTACTTTTCCAAGTATTATGATATGATTATGATTATGCTTATTTTTGTTGGGTTTACTTAGCACCGAGAGGATTTTGGGATGAAGGCCCTACTATTAGTAGAGGCTTGGTCTTTAGAAGCAATTCCCTTGTCCCTAACTACGTGCCCCGTAGGATTTATCTTAGAAAGACATAGCTAGTGGATCCACCGAAGCTAATATGTATGGTCCTTACCTTGGCAAGTAGGACAATCTCTTTTCGGTGTGGGAAAGACACTGAATTCCATGTTATAACTCACATGGTCTATGTCAATTAATAGTGAAATATCCCACAAAAGAACTATTTTTTCTTCAAAGGTTTTTACGACTTCCTTAATGATTTGAGTTAAGCTTTCCTATGACTTTTCAAATGTCGCATTGACTTTGTTCCATGATTCATGATTTTGCTTGATAAGCTTTACTATGTTTTACTTGGTCATGCATCATCATGTTTTGAACTTGCCATATTATCACGTTTACGTTAATGCATGCTCCCCATATTCAGTACATTCAAAGTACTGATGCATATTGTGCCTATATTGTTTTATAATATAGGATCTTACGCTCCTCCGGCTGGTCACGGCTAGTTGGATTGCTCCACTTAGCACTTGGATTGGTGAGTGCTCATGGTTCGAGGGCAAGGCCATTGTCATTTTGTTGCTTTTGATGTCTTTTCAGTTTTCAAACTTTGTACGAGGTTTAGGGGTTTGTCCTAACCACATCTATTGCCGTAGAAGGCTTTGTCAGACATAGTTGATTTTCGCATTATGTTAAGTCATGTACTCTTTTGATATTTCCTTAAGAGTGGAAAGAGTTTTGAGACTTATATCTTGTCCTTATGTTGAAATCTTTTTATTTGATATTCAAAGTGGCATGCTTATGTCAAGTGGCTTGTTTAGGACCTCACAAGGTCCTATTTGTCATGTCACATCTAGGGTGTACTTTGGGTAGTGACACTAAGACTGGTATTTCTCAACTTTTTTTTATTTACCTTTTCTCTTCTCAATGAAATGACTCATTCTTTCTTTTCTTCTAGTATGCAAGTCCTCTTATTCTGCTACGTCTAATCTTTATTAACTTCTCTTTTCTACTTTCCTAGTATAATTACTAAAGTAATCAAAGCTAGAATTTAATATTGCAAATTAATTATATTTCGGGTTGATTAATTGTAAATGAAAATTTATTTCCTGTGATTGAAGCTATCTTTTAATGGTTTCCATTTGAAACTTTTTTCTAATAATTTCATCATTATTATATACTAGATAATAAGACAAATAATTTTAATTGCACTTGATTATTACAAGTCCTTTAATCTATTTACAGTCAATTGTGTGCTTCACTTCTCACTTGTGAATTTAAGCCTCATAGGTTTTGTAAGTTTTTGCACTTTGTGCTGTCAAAAACAGTAGAGTACGGAAAATATTTGGAACTCAATGGAATTAAGATAGCTAGAGATGAGGAGAAAACAAAACCTTTTCCACCAGTGTCAGCTCAGGGGATAGATTTTGTGCTACAACACGCATAAGAATATCTTTTGAGCTGCATGACAATACCAGCAGACATCTATTAGCTATCCACTACGTAATTGCCAAGCGGTTGGCATGAGAAGATAATAACATTAGTAGATGTACATAGAATTGGAGCTTGTTAAGGAAAAGTAAATACGTTAATATCCCTTGAATTTTGTTTCCAACAGTAATTAAAGCTGAGTTGACCCGTAATTCTCGCATCTTCTTAGCAGCAACATACACAGGATCTGAGGGGCATACTATTGCCACCCTGATGACATATAACAAGATCAAAATCAGGCACTAAAAGTCAATCTGAACACATTCTCAAATTTAAGAGGTGGAGGAAAGTTGAACTGTACTTGGTATTTTCAGAAACAATGGCTGACAAAGAGGGCTTGAATATCAGCTCCCGCAGGGTTTCTATAAATGCAGATGGAGCTGAAACAGAGTGCAGAAACCATAAGGCGGCAGATTACCATACTTCGGACATATAAGTTTACTAGGAGCTCAAAGTAATCAGGAGCAATCTGCTGTAAGCAACAAATTGAGAGGAATGCAAATTGACCAAGCATCAAGTATAGAGAGCTTATATTGCTTGTATATGTTAGCTAAGCAAACTTGGGTCCATGTCTACCTAATCATCAACTTTGTTTCAAAGTAAAACACTCAACTCAACATATCCATTCTCTGGTAATGGCCTTTCTAAGGCCAAAAAAGTCCATGAAAAGCATATCACAAGCATTGATCTAACATTTGGTCGCAGACCTGCTGTTAAAAGATGTATAAATCATAACTCTCTACCAAATAGCACTTCAAATGTAATGGCAATTCTAGACCACTCTACTTTAAAAAAAAAATTAAAACATTTAAAAAAAAGTTAATATACACAGTATGTTCCTAAATTACGCTCTCTTAAATAGGCCTAGGGGTTGAACCGATCTCAACCAAGCTGTCAAAGTCTCTTTAATGTTCAGTTCTACGTAGTGCTACTCCATTAAAAAAATAAAATATATAACAAATTGATTGGTTAAGAAAAATACAAGTATTAGTAGTTTAATTTGGTGAATGCATTCAAGTTTGATTGAATTATACATATTATTAGTTGAAATTAGAACTCAAATTTAAATAGCATTAACTTAATATTGAACACAACATAGAACTTTACTTTCAGGCAAAAATCTAAAAATTATAAAATAAATCAACATTAAATTCAAGAAATTTGTACAATATTACATTTCTTTAATGTTTGAGTTCTTAAATTTAAAATGTTAACTACATTTTGCACCTCCCATAAAATAATTTTAAGTAACGATGTCTATAAAAAGTTTAATTACATCAAATTAGGCAGAATAGATTGTGACCACCCTAAACTTGTCGAGTTTTATTTGGTGCACACAAAAACTTCGCATTGGCCTAATTATCCCCCTCAACTTGGTTATTTCATAGCCACAACCCCCCTGAACGCTTACAATCCATGAATGTGTGACGCACGCTGCCACATGGATTTTTTTGTCCACATGGCTTTATTTAGAATAAAATATATATTTTAATCTTTCTAAGATCACTAATTATTTAAATCACCTTTTCCGGGTCAGTTCCGTAAAAATAAAAATGGAAAAACAATATTTTGACTATAATTTTTTTTTGAACTGGTAATTTGTATTCTTCAGCATCAAGGGCTATGTTGGCCACCTCCAAAAAGTTAACAGTAAAAGACTGAAAAAATACTTACAAAGATCCTATAAAAATCCACTAGTTGGATTTCCTCTTCTATATTTTGTTCTTTACACCGAAAACCTAGAGAGGTAATAACTTTCCACTTAATCTTCTGTAAAGAGCACTCTTCTCCTTTAAAAATCCTCTAGTTCCTCTCCTTTCCGATGTTCCACCAGATGCAAGCTGGGATGGTCTTCCACCTTTTTTTCTGGCTCTTACTTCCTCCTCTCCTGATCCACAACAACTAAGCAGGTCTGCAGTGTGCTCAGGCATGATCCAATGTATTCCGACAATAGTAGTGAATAATGCCCATACTTGTGTTGTAACTTTACAATGCAGGAATAGGTGTTTGCTGGTTTCTAATGCCTCCTTGCATAGCAAGCATCTAGAGGCTATGTTGATCCCCCTCTTTTTTTTTTGATAAGATAAGTGGTATTAATAACAGCATCAAGAAGATGCAAAATTTACAAGATATGGCATTTGAGCTTACAAAAAAATCTCTGGCTAACTATACAAACTATCTAAGCCAGAGCTAATGAGTTAGTAAAATCCTGAAGTTGTTAATCCCCCTCTTTTGTAGTGCCTCATGTGTCAAGCATGCTTTCCTAGCTACCAGCCAAGTGCACTTCACTTTAATGGAACCACACTCTTCCAGATAGTAGTACATGGTCCTGTTGACCTGCCTGTAGAATTCATTATTGTGGTGCCCCCAGATGAGGCTGTTAGGGTCCAAGTTAGTACCTGGTAAATTTCCTATCAAGGATAGGAGTTTTGATACACATGCCACTTCCCAATCATTTAAGAACTTTCTAAAGATCAAGTTCCGACCTTGAGGAGACCACTTCTTGTATGTTGAAGTTAGGATTCAGGCTAATTAAAAACAAGCTAGGGAACAAAGATTGATGATTCCCATGACCACTCCAATTCTCTTTCCAGAATAGAACCTTATCTCCCCCTTCCAATTTTAACTCTTAGGCTTGAGAGAACCAGGGATGACAACCAGAGATTCCTGATTGACTTCCAAACCCCCCACCCCATAGGTGTCAGACACCTCATTTGTGTACCTCTGGCCCTTCTGGCCATACTCAGGCAAAATTACCTCCTTCCATAAGGAATGCTCCTCTTGGGCAAATCTCCAAAGGCGTTTTTTGAGCAAACTCTTACTTTGCAACTTAAGGTTCCTCACTCCCAATCCTCCAAATTTCTTACTTTGTTGGACTGTGATCCATTTCACCAAGTTGAAACTCTTCTCAATCTTGTTTCCTTGCCTCAAGAAGTTCCTCGACAGATTGTCCAATATTTTCACCACCTTGTCAGGGATGGGAAATAAGGACATCACATAGGTTGGCGATGAGTCTAGGACTGCATTTATCAATACAACTCTACCACCCAAAAAGAGGTACTGTGATTTCCAGAGAGCTAGTTTCTTCTCTGTTTTCTCTACTATTCCATCACATATATTCATTGCTTAGTGTTTGGCACCCAATGGCATTCCCAAATAGATTGTGGGCATCTCCTCAAACTTGCACTTCAAATATCGACCAATATCTGAATTTGTTGTACCTCGTTGACTGGGAAAATGTTGCTTTTCCTCTAGTTGATCTTCAAACCAAAGCAAGCTTCAAAGATTACTAAGATTACCCTTAGGTAGTAAATTTGTTCTTGTTTAGCTTCACTATTAAACTACTATGTCATTAGCATATAGTGGATGAGTCACCTCCAAAATTTCGTTGTTCCTGTTCTTAATGGTGAAACACCTTATCCAGTTATTTGTTGCAGCCTTCCTCATCAGATTGTCCAACCCCTCCATAGCTATAATGAACAGAAAAGGGATTGGGGATCCCCTTGTCTAAGGCCTCTTTCACCTGGAAAAAAACAAGCAGGTTTTCCATTTATCAGAATGGAGAACCTGGTAGTTTTAATACAGAATGCTATCCATTTAAGCCACCTGTTCCCCAATCTCATTTTCCTAATTGTATTCAACAAGAAATTTCAGTTAAGGTGATCAAAAGCCTTTTCTATGACTAGCACTCTAGCTTGCACATAATTCCTGGAACTTCTTCTCTAATCCTAGTGTCAATGCACTCACTAGCAATAAGATCAACATCCATTATTTGCCTCCCTTTGATGAAAGCCATCTGATTGTTGTTTATAACCCTGTTGATTACTTTCTTTAGCCTCTCCGACAACACCTTTGCTATGATTTTATAGACCCCAAAGATCAAGCTGATGGGACTGAAGTCTCTTAGATCATCTGCCCCTACCCTCTTAGGGATCAAAGCTATAAAAGCGGCATTGAAGCTCTTCTCAAACTTCTGATGTGAGTGGAATCTATGGAGTGTCTACATCAGTTCCCCCTTTGATGTTTCCCAAAAGGCTTGGAAGAAAGCCATAATCAAGCCATCTGGGCCAACAGCTTTATCTGCAACACACATCTTAAAACCTGCAAGTACCTCTTCTTCCTCAAAAACTCCTTCCAAACTCTCTTTTTCCTTTGTTGAGATTCTTTGTACTTCAGGTATGTTCAAAGAAGGTCTCTAGTTTTCTGTTTCTTTGTAAAGATTTTGGCAGAAGTCCACAATAGATCCCCTGATGGCTACAGGGTCATTTGATTGTTCCCCATTGATCATCAGGGAGACAATTGTGTTGAGCCTTTTGTGTGAAGTAGTCATTCTGTGAAAAAAACTAAGTGTTCTTATCCCCACTCTTGATCCACTGAACTCTAGACCTCTGTCTCCAAGAGATCTCTTCATTTCTAGCCACTTCCTCATATTCCATAGCGAGATGAGCCTTTATCAGCTGCTCATCATCAGTTAAGGGTCTTCTCTCCAGGATGATTTCCAAGTTCCCTATTTGATCGAAAATATGATTTTTTTTCTTGTCCTCTGGTTCCCCTTGTGCTCCTTGCATTCTTTAAGTTTTGCCTTTAACAAACTTAATTTTGTTGCAAGAATGTAGCCAAGAGTGCGAAAAGAAAAGAGCACCACCATTCTTAGACTTTTTCTTTGAAACCTTCAACATTCAGCCACCACTTTTCAAACTTAAAGTACAATTTTCTGAAAGTTTCATCCGTACAAGTCAAAAGGATGGGATTGTGATTAGACCCAAGTCTAGGAAGAGAACTTTGACTGATCTTAGTGAACATTTCATCCAAAGGGAAGGAGTACAACAACCTGCCTATTCTGGAGGCATTGAAGTGAAAGACCCCCCCAAATAAAGGGGGATCTATGAGTTCCAACTCATTGATGCAGTTGGAGAAGTCCAAAGGGAATCCTCGTTGTGTTAAAATCTCCTCAAACTACCCACGGTTCCCCACACATACTCCTCATTGCTCCTAATTCTTTCCATAAATCATTTCTTTCATTCATGCCGCAGGATGCATAAACAGCTGTGAGAAACCAATCGAGATCATGATTTACCCCGCCTAATTTATAGGTAATCATTTGGCTACCACTCTCTACTACTTCCCTCCTCCAAGCCCTTTTGTCCCACATGATTACCATTCCTCCCTTAGTCCCTATTGCTTTCCGTCCATATTTCCCCTATCCATCTATTTCCTCCCAGTTGTTGACTACTGATATATGCTCCCTCCGATTGAATTCTGATCCTAGCTAGTTCTCTTTTCTCCTCCCTGTTTAACCCCCCAACATTCCAGGCTAGAATTTTAACTTCATCACAACTGAGAAGCTTGTTTCCTCTCTCTACTTTTTGATTTGCTCCTT